CAAAAGTTTGGGGTCAGTAATAATTTCGAATGTTTTTTAAAGATGTGCCAAGGCTGCACTTTTTTGACCCAAAATACATCAAAAAGTACAGTAAAAACACTAATATTGTGAAACATTATTCTATTTAAAATAACTGTGTTGTAACATCTTGTAAAATTTAATTTATTCCTGTGACTTCAAAGCTGAATTTTCAGCATCATTACTCTTCAGTGTCACATGATCCTTCAGAAATCATTCTAATATGCTGATTTGCTGCCCAAGAGACTATTATCAATGTTGAAAACAGTTGTGCTGCTTCATTTTTTTGCAGAAACTGTACTTTTTTCAAGATTTTTGAGAAAGAGAAAGTGTATATATTTTGAACATTTATTTGAAATAGAAATATTTTATAGCATGACACATTTCTGGCACTTTTTTCTATCAGTCTGAAGCATCATTTTGCCGAATAAAAGTGTTAATTTCTTTCAAAAAATATATTTTTTATTAATATTAATAATTACCTACCTACTAATTACCTACATGTGTAGGTAAATATATAGCATCATTTTTGTTATGCTTTTGCGTATAAATTTAAATGATTTTTACTGCATTTTACTTGTCGAATTAAATATTTTGAGTCTTTTCAGCGACAATGGCTGTGACAATGACAGTTTCTCGTGACCCTTTTAGACCATTTCAGATGAGAAATTAAAATAGAAATGAAAATTGCACAGCCCTATAATCACCAGTAGCACCACCATCTTGGAACAGACAACATTTCAAGTTAGTTTTTGCAGGTCACATAAATCCCCTATAGATGCAATACATAATCCTTTATGAATACATTTATAAATAGATACTTGCTGTAATTTTGCTGGTATGCTTTATTTTTAGATTATAAAGTAAAAGCTTACTTTAATTTGGCCCAGCATTGAAAGTGATTATGTATTGTAGTTTTTTTCTTCAGAATGGTGTTAAAACCAAGGCTGTATTATTCTCCATCAATCTGCACATTCAGTAATCAGACCATTAAGATGGTTGCCATGGTTACCACTTTTATAAGGGGGTGTTAGCTAGAGAATCCAGATAATGCGTGTTAATAACACACTGCATCTGTCAATTAGCTTGTATGCGTTTATGGCATACTTTGACCTTTCCAATATGGCAGACGCACTGATGTGTGACAGTAATTAGCAACAGTTTCTAATGCAGCATTTCGCTGTTCATATCTACTGTATAAATGCATGTCATGTTATTCAGTCAGCATGTTCACCTCTTCAGACGTGTGGCGGCAGTGACCACTGCTCTAGATAACTGGAAACTATGTTTCTCTGAGATTAATTCAGCTATAAACCTAATCCTTCACCTGATATGAGCCAAGAGCAACACAATATCAAAACTGACCTGCTTCTACTAAAGTACCACTGAAAGATCTATCAGAACTATCAGCAAAGACACTATCAAGCTCAACAGAAACATTTAGAATAGAGATGGATGTGCTTAGACAAGGGCAACAAGATTAATCAAAATAAAACTGAAATCACAGTACGGCTTAATGTGATTATTAAATCACAAATATTGTGATTCAATTAAATAAATTTATGTGCAGCGTGTTTCAGAGTGTGGTACTGTGTTCATTTACACATGAGCAGCTCATTATTAGCCGTCTCTTCATCGGCTCTGAGGTTTTCCGTCAAAATAAAAGTTTGATTGTTTAACATTTGAAAATAAAAAAAAATTACGACAGCAGTAAATATAAGTATAGCAATTTCAGTTGTAATGTCAAATAAAAATTATTATTACTATACATGTGACTCGTGCTGGCAAAATGAGTCGGAATGCACACAGGCTAATTTTGAGCCCTCATCTAGCGATCCCAATGCTCCAAATAGTAATTAAACATCTAAAATGATCTTTATTTGTATGTTTTCTGAGAGGAGTACCTTTTCTCTGCTTGTTTCTTGCGCTGTCATCCGACACGTTCTCGATACATATACACCAAGTGTTAATTTTGACAGCAAATTTTGATTTAGTTTTAGTCATAGTCTTTTGACTAAAATGCCATTTAGTTTTAGTCATATTTTAGTAATCTGATTTTTGACAATCTACAGTAAATTTAGTCGGCTAAAATCTAATGGGTTTCTAAATTCACTAGGTTTGATATGAAGGTTTTATCATGATAGACACCGATTTAACTGCGGTGACACACAACATGCCTTTATGTTAAAATTAAATAAAACCACTTCTCATAAAGAACAAGAACATGGTCTTCTTTTCAATGAAATACCAATGGTTATATAGGCTAATTATGCATTCTTTATAGCAACTTGTTTACCATATTCTTCATTCTTTCAAGCAGACATATTTATTTCTATAAATAAATTTAGATTAATCTTTAGGGCTACGAAAGTGATTCAGTCAAGAGCAGTGCGTGATTTTCTGTCTTTCCTTTGTTGCTTGATTAACATCAATGACTCGGACAATAGCAACTAAATTAGGCTGCACGTATACACGGATGCAGTTTACGGATTCACGTCCAATATTCTCCCAACTGTTTATGTTCACATAAGACATAACTGAGTGCGTTTATGTAAATACTTGTCAAAACAGACAATTCGACATCATTTTGTGTGTATTTCTCCGTTCATGAGACGCGAAAGAGTACTCGTGTGGTGTGTGAGAGGCGCCACTTCAGTGTCTGCGCTCAGAAAACCGGACCGTTCTCTCTTGCGTCTTCAGATTTATCCACATGTCTGCTCTTCTCTTACTCCCAGATATCGACATTTTTGTACGTTTTAAGCGACGTGCAGCAAGTGTATTTTAGCTCATGTCCCGCTGGTTCATATGTACGCATCTAATCTCCTAACTATGCAGCAGATTCGTTCTGAATGAATCTCTTCCCAAATCGTCCCTCCCTAACATTTTCGTCTCGGTTTTATTCGTTGATGAAAATGTCAATAGATTTTCGTCATAGTTTCTGTCATTCAAGACGAGTTTTAGTTCGTCATCGTCTCGTTTTCGTCTGTGAAAAAAATGTCGTTGACGAAAATGATTCGTCACCGAAATTAACACTGATATACACAGAATTACAGTATTCAAGTATTCACGCAAACATAATCTGTTATGTCTTAAGTGAACATTTGGGGAACGGTTGGGGAAAAACATCTGATGTGTAACATTATCTTAGATCCGTGCATTACAGTAGGTCTTAATCAGCGCTGGACAGTATCTAGTTACTAGAAACTAGTTACTGTAATAATATTACTTTTTGCAGTAACTAGTAGTGTAACTAATTACTAATAAGATTTCAGTAATAATATTACAGTTACCATCCATAAAACAGCTTGTTACTTACCCTACTGATTTGAAATCCGTCAATCCAATAATTCCTAGATTTATTTTCACAATTTTCACGACTCGCACAGGCACACGAAGTCACCAGTGCGTCAGGAAAGCTTGAAATATGGAAAAGCTTACATTCAAGGGATGGAAATATTGCCATTACAGTGATTGTGTCAGGAGAACAGCTGATCTGAACACAGATGTGTAAGTTGTGGCATTACTTTACTCTGGCATTACATGGCTTGCCCCTCTGATCCCAATATAAATTATATTACAATATTATAATATTACTATATTAAAAATCTTATGAACTTAAGTGATTTCTTTTGATGAAACACTTCATGAAATATAATCATATTTGGGTAACAGAGAAATTATAGCTACAATTAGCTTCAAGCTACACAAGACAATTAATAAAACACTTTTACTTAAAAGTCACTATCAATCACCATTGAGTGCTTGTAATCCTCTGATCCCAATATAAATTATATTACAATATTATAATATTACTATATTAAAAATCTTATGAACTTAAGTGATTTCTTTTGATGAAACACTTCATGAAATATAATCATATTTGGGTAACAGAGAAATTATAGCTACAATTAGCTTCAAGCTACACATGAGATTAATACAACACTTTTACTTAAAAGTCACTATCAATCACTATTGAGTGCTTGTAATAACTTCAGACTGCGATCCCATGTAGAATTTGGTCAAATGATGAGGCAGAAATATATTGTTAGTAACATTTTAGAAGAATTTTCTGGGGAAGATACACAATTACAACTTCTGTGGGGCGTGAAGGAAAAGTAATGTAACTAGTAGTGTGACTAATTACTGTTGCCAGATAGTAATAAGTAAAGTAATAATATTACTTTTGAAAGGAGTAACTGTAGTAACGAGTAATAAATTACATTTTTGGAGTAACGAGCCCAACACTGGTCTTAATATATAGGCCGTCTGTCTCATTAATGATAATCTAACGATAAAAGAAATGAGTGAATCACTCGCTGCTCTTGATTGAACTGCTTTTCTTGAATGCTTTTGTGGATGTAAATGTCAAATGAAAAAGGTAATGCACTGTTTTTTTTCTCTCATATTTGTTATACTGTTTTTTTTTTAATCTGTTCTTATTTATAACAAAGATAAAATAAAAAATAGCTACATTGTGACTATTAATATAGTAATTATTAAGAAAAGAACTGGAGGAAAAGATGCAACGCTGCAGGTGATTTTGCTTTGGAACCTTCAGAAAACTTTAACTCGATTTTTCTCAAAATTGACTTTGCTGACTCTATCGACTTCAAACAGGTGTAGCTCAGACATTTTTCGTCCGAATCCAACAAATCATACATCATTTTGAAGGTCTTTGAAAACGAAAAAACATTTTTTTGAAAAATTGCTCATTGTGACTCATTTGGCCAGCACAGGTCACATATTATATATATTTTTACAATTATTATTAAATTATTTTTCTCAACTATTTGTTTTTTTGATTTTACTGTAATATTACAATAGTAATTTTTTATATTATTATTTAGCCATATTGATATATAGAGTGCCGCATGCAGGAATGATGTGCTTTTAGGTCAAAATGGTTCATTTGTGAAGATTATCACGTCATCACAGCAGCGCTCTACAGTGATCTCACGGTAAAGGCAGGAAAAGATACAGACCTGAACGGTTTTCTTGATTCTGTTAGAGGGTCCGGGATACTCCGGAGAATACAAGTCTGTCAGAAACAGGGAGTTGATGAGCGTAGACTTCCCCAAACCTGATTCTCCTGCAGGACACAGAACGAGAGTTTACATCAGTGATTGCAGAACGTGCAGCACTTCTGTTGGCTGGTGAACAATGACTGTGTGGAATTTGAGTCTGGAGATATCCACAGAATCTGAACAGCCATCATTCACACTGTCTCCACTTAAACATTTTGGGTAACTTGTGGTGCTTGCTAAGTCTAGGGCCATATGAAATTCATTTTCATTTTTTCCCCATATTTTTGTTTTCCATTTTAATTTCTCTGAATTTCATTTTAATAGCATTGAAAAGCATTTCATAAAATGTTAACAGTAATAGGGCCCTTTTTCTCTTCTCCAAAATCTGCTTTAATTCTTCTGGATTTTATACCAATTTAAAAAAAATGGTAATCAAATGAATACATAAGACAATTGAATAATCTTTTATAATGTTTTAAAAAATCCTTTACAATAAACCATTGCTTTTGTGTCAAATAAAGTGCTGCAAAAAAGAGGTTTGATTATTTGCATACAGCCCTACTTTTCATTTGTTAATCCAATTTGACAAATTCCATGACATTCAGCATTATACAACAATTTTAATAACTGGATACCATGATTCTCTCCATGTTTTCACTAGGCTCCTATAAGGCCCAACATTGCAAATCTACCAAACCCGGTGCTTTTTAACACCTGAGATGCTGCATTTTTCAACTTAACTCCAAAAACAGGAAATCAGTCTGGAGGAGTGGCATAATCTAATCAACTCTGACATGAACTTATATGGGGTCGTTCCCTGCCTGCGAGTCTGGGAAACGCAGACAGCATCTGAAATGTGTGAAATTCCATAAAGCACAAGAGAATACAACTATTTAGCTGGACAGATGGAGGGAAATCTAAACAGTCAGAAACTCAGACTATATGATAAAGTACAAACCAGGAGAAGAACCAGAGGGTGTGCGAACCAAGATAAACAAAGAGTATGTTCACAAGCTATTATAAACTTTATTAGTTTGCCAAGACAAGCTTCAGTATCGCCACTGCTCATACTTTACCTTTAACTCTAAGTGTTCGACTTTAGTATGCAACTCATCCAGCACAGTTTGTGCTACAATATCTCAGATTGCCTGCTTGTTTGGAAAAGGAGTATTTACTTTTCCAACCAATTAGTCACCTGGTGGACAATAAAACTATTATAGAGACTTGAGGATGAGCTCTTTTGACTAGCACTACTGTTCAAAAATTTAGGGTCAGTAAGTTTTTTTTTTTAAATATTTTTGAATGAAGTCTCTTCTGCTCACCAAGGCTGCATTTATTTGACCAACAATACAGTCAAAACAGTAAAATTGTGAAACATTATTACAATTTAAAATAATTGTTTTCTATTGTAATATATTTTAAAATGTAATTTATTCCTGTGATCAAAGCTAAATTACTCCAGTCTTCAATGTTTTTTTTTGTGTCCCTTAAGGGAAACTACTGTAGTTTTGCAGCAGTAAGGCATAACAAATACACATATACAATGTCACATGATCCTTCAGAAATCAATAAAAAAAGTTGTCTATAATATTTGCCCACTGGTTATTTATCCAGACAACGTTTCATTAAATTTGCCGTTTGCATTTTCTTGCATTGGTAACAAGCTTCCACAAGCTTTCGTGGTTGTGGTTGCCAGATGTGAAGAAATCCCCCAGTCTGAGTTTCTCTCTTAAATCGATATATTTACTATCCATTGGTTTACTTAATCATCCCAACCTGGCAGCCATGTACACACACTCTCTCTACATTATGGAAAAAGTGCTGATGAGCTGAAAACACCAGCAAACATGTAAGTTGATGTTTAGTGATCTCCGATGAGATATTCTGCTAAATTAAAGTGTAATATAGCCAGTCTGTTCTCCTTCACGAGGCCGTTAGCGCTGTTATGATATCATGCAAGTTGATGTTCACTTGATTTGCGCTTATGTGAAAGTGTAATAATTGAGGAAATAAAAAAAAAATAAAAACACTTTTGAACAGTAGTGCATGTCACCTTAGCATTCACCTAGAAAATTCCTTGGCAACCCTAAAAACTGCTCAGAGCACATTAGCAACTGCACAGCAGTACTATGGAACCCTCCAGTATGGTGTCAAATCTTGTTTGTAATGTGCTAAAAAAAAAGGTAACTTATCCCACTGTTAAACAAATATATTGCTGACATTCGATGCGTAAGTCTCCAACAACAAGTGACTTTTTCACAGAACAATTCCTCTAAGCATCCGAGAGCGATCCATCAGCTGGATGCGCGGCAACGGGGTTCCTGTAAGGCCTGGAACAAAGAGGACAGTATGAAGGAAATTGGATGCATGTTGGCACAGAGCAATGCTGGGCTTCTCTCCTGCCCTTTAACAAGTGCCCAACCCAGCGCCACTTCCACAGCACGTAAAACACGGAGAGAACCTTCAAACAAAGAAAAGCTTCTTTCAAATCCTAAATGTCTTCCAGAAGGGCAGAACAACAGTGACCTCACCATCGCAACAGATACGTCTTCCACTCACTGCCTGGAGAGATGCAAAAGCAATTGCTATCATTGAGCAGACTGAGGAAAAACCCAACAGGATTTATTTTGCTTGCTGAATGTAGCTTTTGAAACAGGCCCATGGTCTTGTGAAAACAGTGAGTGAAATACGGTCTTCTTTAAAATGTCATTATTAATTAAGGAAACAATAAAAGCAGGCAGCGAGTGGCGGAGCGAAGCAGGCACTGGGATGCACTTCTGCCGTTCTCTGGAGTGAAACCAGCACAGCAGAGAGACCAGAAAAACAGCCACGATGGTGGAGTTACTGCTGGGAGACATATGATACTGAATACAGGCCTGCCAGAGTGAAGAATTTCCCTGCTGGAAGAAACTCACATAAAAAGCAGAAGATCTTGTGGAATCATAGCTTGCAGGAGTTTTTATAGTATCGTAACTTGCAGCTGTTCAAGGAAACTCATTTAGTACAAATGTTTTAAAGGGACAGTTGGACAAAACTCACTCATGTCACGGCAAACGTGTATGAACTTTTATTCTACAGTGGAACACAAAGTAGTTATTTCCATACAGTGATAGTGGATGTGCACAAGTAAAAATGCTGCTGCAATGATAACTGATTTTATGTATGTCTTGATAGATTCAAGAGCTGCACCCATGAGTTGTATGAACTACTTTCATGGTTCTTCTTTATTCTTTTTGCAGCTCCACAGCATCCATTACCATTCACTTTCATTGTATAGAAAGGACCAATGTGGATATTCTGCTGCTGCTGCTTCTGTGTCCCACACCGGGTTCAAACTTAACAAATGGCAAGAATCCTCTCAGCTGACTAAAAAAAACCACACACACACACACACACACACACACACACACACACACACAATAATGGAGGATGTTGACACACACACACACACACACACACACACAAACAAACTTTAAAGCAGCAGGATTGCAACATTGCAAGAAAGTGGAGTAGACTGGACTGCATACTTTTACATTTTTGTCACAATTTATTGTTGTGAATGATTGTTATATGTTGAATTTATGTTTTTAAAAGAGACACAGCACAGCATGACATCATATCATGGCCGTTGCAGTGTCCGGAAAAAAATTGCATGCTGAAAGTCTAGTGTGACCGCGGCTTCATAACTTTATTTGGAACTGTAAAAGCAGGTCGATCCGGTACATGCTTACAAAAATGTAGTACGTTTATAGTAAAGAGAACGTTATCTTCCATTGTTGTGGATGCTAATATGGTTATCATTATAGTTATCGTTCTTTTTGTGAACAGACCTTGTTTAGATTAAGAATGTTAGTCTAACTGAGTTGTGTCTACTTGTAAAGAAATTCAAATTTACCACTATAAGTACATATTGTGTATGATTTTTTTATATTTTATTTTCCCCTTCTCATAATGCATGTGTGAAATATTAAGCTATCAAAATTAAAATATGAGGAACAACATGACAATGCAATTATGAAAGGTGCACTTTCATTTTATGTGACTAAAACAATAGACCTATGTTGTCTACAAATATGCAAGAAAAAAACAGCTAAATAGTGTAAATAATGTGAAATACTGTTTATGGTTGGTCAGTTTTCCCTGTTTACTTGCCATTGACAGATTTGGCAGAAAAGTAAATTTTGGAAACCAGTTCCATGTAGAAAGAAAGCTATAGGGGTTAGGAGCAACATGAGGTGAGTAAATGACGACAGATTTTTGGGTGAACTTTTCATTGAAGTAGTTAAGCTCTGAATCACTTCTCACAAGAGATCCGAGTGTGCATGCAGAGTTTAGCATTGAGGAAAGAGAGAGAGACATTGATAGATGAACAGAAAGGTGACTATGGGCAGAAGGTTTGTCATGTTAAAACCAGAGATAATTACAGAGTCCTTCATTGAACTCTGCATCAAGAATGATGACAGATCAGGGCTTTCCTGTCACCCGCCCAAAAATGCCAAACTGCGGTATCTGTAACCCGCCCTGTCTCTGTGCATTATGAAACTCACTGTTTGTGCTGTGTCAAATCCTTACAGAACTGCCCTTAGCAGATGAAAAACAACACACAACACGTATCCATCTAAACACCTGTATTTCACAACATTAACCATTACTGAACACTCTTCGCACACAGCAAACTCTACATTAGGGCCAAACTACTGCAATCGGGGAAATCTGAACAAGAGGCGTTGAGTGTTATGGAAAGTCCGTGCAGAGAGCAAGGTGAGTGTCCTGCCACTGGAGCAGTTCAGCCCAAAGCCCACCACGAGGATCGGTGAGGGTCCGGCTCGCTTCCTTTAAAGGAAATATCCCTCAGCTGTGTAAACCAGGGGGCTTATTCCAGAGGAACTCCTCATCGCATTACAGGGGTGGGGGGAGCTGGGAAGCAGGAAAAGCTTGGGACTGCACTGGGAGGGACAGAGTTTACTACGAACTGCCAAAGAACTTTCACTGGCACAGATAAAACCAGAACGCAGGAAAAAGTAGCACTCATTCTCTGCTATAGGAGAAGAGGAATTGTATAAAC